ATCTTATTCTAAAGGGCTTCTGTTGTTTTCCTGCCAAAATCTGGGGCTAGTTGCCACCAAAATTTGGCTGTGCAGTGGCAGGGGTTGCAGCAACGGGCTGCCATTTCCGAGGGAGGCAGGCAGGCAGGAAACTGAGCTTTGGATCCATGAAAGTTGTTCGTTCCTGGCTTAATGTCAAACTCCCGTCATTAATTAGGCTTCTTGTTCTAAACAATTAGAAGAACATTTCCTCTCTGCCTAAAATAGTATAGGGGGGGTGCATATTTTGAAGTTTTTACAAGCCACAGAGCACACACAAAAAGGACCAAACAAGTATCCCACAAATGAGATGGAGGAAGATCATTCCTTTTAAAAACAATGACTGTAAATCCCATATGTCCTGACTTAGTGCCATATGTCCTGATTTGCAGAGGCCTTTGTTTGCAGAAGGTGCTGACTGTTTGGGAAAATGTTGCTGCAGAGAGGAAGTTACTTTTCAAAGATAAAAGTGCATCATACTAGTTATCTTGCATTCCCCTAATTTCCCAGCCACTTGAATTATTGACTTATAGTTTCCAATCGAGTGTTCATGGTCGGAGAACAATAGATAACGTTAAGATCCTATGCGTGTCTTCCTGCCTGTTAGAATTATGGAGAGCCAATGAACATCTGTATAGCCATCTTACACCAATGAGATAATTGATTGCTGTAAACCAACGAGAATGTGTCTTTAATTCTCTGTCAAAGTGATAAAAGACTTGCAACCCCATTTGGGGGTGTGACAGACCTTTTTATGTTCCATGCATCCTGTCCCTATTGCTTTGGCCCACAATAAATAGCTTCTGCAGTTGGAATTCAGCTATTGGTGTGTCTTCCATTGCATTACCCTCTTGAGCCCAGGGGACTCCTGACAATGTGCAGAGAGCTGGAGGAGTGCCAGAGAGCCATTGCACATACACCCCCATCATCAGTACACAAATTATATTTTTTCAGCAAAGTGTCATTCTTCACACGAACATGCTTTTTGTTTTAACGACAAGTCCCAGAATCCCCATAACAGCAGAGCTACTGGAATTAATGCCTTTTTGAAAAAGAAACATTTTCTGTGATTTTAGTGGTGATTGAACAGGGAACTGAATAAACTCTCTCCCTAATGTGTTTACATTCATCGTAATCCTGTAATTGTTCTGCTTCTGAAATCCCGTGCAATTTTCATTAAAAGCACCTCTGTGTAATTTGCATTCAGGTTTCCCTCCCAGACCATGGGAAGGAAACCAAACCCCCTCCAATGTTTAAACATCTCTTTTGCACAAAACCTGTCTACCTGACATTTGGCAGGTTTCATCCACTCAGAAAGGCCTATCATGCCAACTATGTTCATCTCTTTGTGTCCAGGCCAATTTATAGCCAGCCATTTATGGATTATCCCATAATAGGGAGGAGGCCTGAAGCTTTATTTTTGTAAAAAGTAAAGTTGTGATTTGGCAGCAATCTGTAGCAATCGAGCACCTTCCAGACTGGTTCCCAAAATGGTTGAAGCTAAAATAGGCCTGTTTTCTGAGATTGTAGATCTTGCTGTGAATCAAATAATCAAAAGTTGTGTTTGGTGAATACTCTTAGCTCTTCCCCAGCCAACTCCCCCTTCCCCAATTCTCTTTTTATCTTTATCACAATTATTTAGAGATGGATGTTGACAAACTGTGTTAATTCAACAATATGGCCCAAAGCAGTTGGAAAAAAGCTTGGTTTGTGCAGTAACGGGAAATCTGGGACGTATCTCCCAATACAGTATTGGAAAAATATTTACTCATTTCAGGGAACCATGAAAGCCTTGGCTAGAGATTTCCAAATGGCCAGAAATTTCCATCTTGGCAGATTATTGTTCCTTTGGAGGATTCCATGACAGGCAAAGCATAAAACCAATGTTTTTTGGATTACAGATAAGCCTGCACAATGGAGCAGCAAGGGCCTCTTTACAGCATCGCAGTGATCTTCCATCTCTTTGAAAGGCTGCTGGGTTACAAGATTGAAAGTTATACTTTTCAATCTGAAAGTCTTTCCCTATAAATCTAGATGTATTGCTAATATTGTGGTAGAGGTGCTACTGGAAAAGGACATGCATTTTTGTTTTTTCTTGTCAGGAGCAACTTGAGAAACTGCAAGTTGCTTCTGGTGTGAGAGAATTGGCCGTTTGCAAGGACAATACCCTGGGGACGCCCAGATATTTTTGATGTTTTACCATGCTTGTGGGAGGTTTTTCTCATGTCCCTGCATGGGGAGCTGGGGCTGACAGAGGGAGCTCATCTGCGCTCTTCCCAGATTCAAACCTGCGACCTGTCGGTCTTCAGTCCTGCTGCCATTGCACCACTGGGGGCTCCTGCATGTGCACTGATGTGTATTTTTGTTTCATTGGTGTATAAATCTGAGGACCAAAATGGTGAACTAGGAATATATTTGTACTGGATGATTTGAAATGTTTACATTTGGTTTGAGAACCTAGTTAACTTTTACCTGACAATTTTGGTCTATAGCCACCCATAACCATTTTTCTATAGGCCAGTCTTTGGGTTTCCAGGTGTTTTGAACTTCAGCTTCCATAATAACTGCGCATTGGCCACACGTTCCAGAGTATCTGTGAAGTCCAAAATATCTAGAGGACTCAGACTAATGACAGCTGCTATAGCTGATATATGCCAATATAATTTCTAGAATATGTATTCTTATGATTGTTGGGGAAGGAAGTATCCTGTACCTCCTTGTGCAACAATTCTTGACTTAGCTTTACATGATTGTATTTTTCTCCTTCCACCCCAGCCAATGCTCAGCTGAGGAGGTGGATCTGAGCAGAAAGCCAGGGATGAAAGAGCAACCTTGTGCTAGAGGGAGCTCTGTCTTCCCTGAATGGCCAGTGACACCCACAATGTTCCCAGGAACCATTGCAATCTTGCACAGCTGGGAAGGAATTGGGATTGAAAGAACTTCTCCCTCCCCACTTTTCACAATAGCACATTGGCAGAAACGTATGTGCTGCCAGTGTGATTGCTGGGTCTTAACTTATATGTGCTGCAAATAGCATCCCATGTTGGAGAAGACAGAGCCTGGAAAGCCATCTTTATTGGACTGCAACTTCCAGAAATCCCAGCTAGCAGGTTCTGTTGTTCTGTGTAGTACAGGAGGCATGGTCTGGCACTGGGAGAGACCGAAGGGTGTCGTGAGAGTCAGGAAATCCCCACCAGCCTGCTTTACTGATGGTCAGAATGCTTTGAAGGAGCAGAGACCACAAAAGGCAGAATGACAAGCATTAGCTGCATAAAATCAGTAATGACACCACAGACATGCCTGGAGTTCTATTTGTGCCTCTTTATTGGGATAAAACTTGTACATTTGTAAAACAGCGACTCGCGCTCAGTAAATTAATGAGATGGACGGGCCCCTCCTGGAAACAGCCCTGGCTGGGTCCCTGTCAGAGCCCCACGCAGCCTGCAGGGCTGCACCTCACCCCACCCCTTGGGCTGGCACACACTTCAAGCAGGCAAGGGGAGTCTCAGTACTGATATCCTTGTTCCCTCAACAGAAGATGCTGTTAACATCAATCTCCATGACAAGGGTTGGTAGCTGCCACTAGGGGAGGGAGGGAGCATTTGTAACCATGATTCCCATTCCCGCAAGTGTCATCTTTCTCTTGAAAAACATCTCCACCCACAACCTGCCCAAAGTGTGGGGCACAGCACCACTAGGTTTGACACATTTTGGCCATGGAAGCCAGAGGGGCCTTACTGGTTTGCTACATGGATGCTAAGGGCTACTGCTGGCATTCTGAGGAACTCCCTTGCCCCCCAAAGACAGCATAATATAGTTTGGTTGGCTTTTTCCTCTTGCACTTTTACACAGGGTCCTTTCAACAAGTGCTGAGAGCAGATCCCCCCACTTGAGGATTTCTCACCCCACACACACTGAATTATTCTGCTACGAAGTGCTTCCATCTAAAGGCCTGAGTCGTGGGGGAATGTGGGAGTACTGGTTGTGCCCTCAGCCTTGGTGTTGGACCCAAAGGGACTTTGGAACTTCCTACTCTGTTCTCCTGGGGGATGGAGTGGCTATTTTGGCTTAGACCTTGAATACTGCTGTAGGGAGAGAGTAATGGATGGACGATGTGGGTCTGAGAGGGTGCTATGGGGAAATTTGGGCTTTGGTGATGGTAGCAGCCTTCTGTGGGCTCTGGCTCTGGCCTTGGAGTTGGGAGGAAACCTGAGTTTGGATGTCTGTATCAGTATTCAGCCATATCACCAGTGAAACCAGCAGAGGGCAGCTGCATCAATGATCTGAATGTCTGGCTAAAAACCACAGGTTCCCAACGGTTATGTACAAATATACCTGTACAGTTCTGTGAGGGGATAAAGGTGGTGGGACAGGGTAAGGGATGGGCCAATGCCCATGCAGTAAAGGAGCACATCCTGATTCTTCCTCACAGGAACAGGAGTTGAGGACTCTTGACTTCTTATGGGCACAGTCCCTATGTGGGCGGCAACAACAGGATATATGGTGCTGCTCAACGGGACTCACTATCTGTTTTCTGCTCCTAAACGCCTCATGTGTGTGATTTTGAGATGAGGAATAGTAATGCTGGAGAAGACTGTACAAAGTGAGTGATGCTGGAGGGAAGATTACCACCACTGTAGGAAATTTATGGCAGACACTGCCATGTTGGCTTGTCGGCAGATGGCTGGTTGGTGCTACTGTATCAGGCTAGAGCCTCCCCTCTTCTGAGAGTGCCCTTTTGCCACCTGGCTTGCTCTGTGTTTCCCCATTCCCCTTCCTCCCCGTGGAGAGAAGTCCTGCCAGTGGAGCTTCTTGGGGGCCCCTGTGACCTCCCCCCGGGCTTGGCATTAGGTGCTCTTTCTCTGTGCTTCAGTATAGGTGGATTGGGGTCTGGACCTTAGGAACGGGACAAGATACAAGGGGTTACAGGAGGAAGGGGCTAAAAAGCATCAATGCTTTGGGGGTAGTGGGGAGTCTTGTGAGGTGGGAAGAAATTGCTTGGTCTGGGTTTTGGACTTGGAAGAGCTCATGGCAAAGGGTGGGACTTGCTGTGTCCGAGGCTGCTCCAGAAGCACTGCCTTCATTTTGGGAGGAAGGGGGAAAGGGGGAGCAGTGACACAGGCCAGACTAGCAAGCAAAGTCTTCGAAGACCCCTTGGGCTGAGTAGTGGTGGCGATGGTGGTGGTTCGGCAGGAGACCCGTAGGGTAGGTGCCCTCAGCGTGACGTCCAAGGGTATCACAGGGACTCTGTAAGAGAAGAGATAGCACAGCAGCACCCATTAATCATCTGCCAAACTCAGCTCAGCTGCACCTAGAATCATAGAATCATAGAATCAAAGAGTTGGAAGAGACCTCATGGGCCATCCAGTTCAACCCCCTACCAATAACTGAACATCCTAACTGAACATCCACCCCACCCATCCAGGCAATATTGGCTACTTCTTTACATGGAAGCTTCTCAGGAACTGAGAAGTTGATATTGCCATCCTTTGAACTAATAGTTCAAACAAATGTTCATGCTACAAGAAGTTTTGAGAGGTGCGAACCTGCCATTATGACACATCCTTCCCTATTTTGTCATTGCACCCTCTTGATGTGATGCATTCTTACTCCTCCCAGTCAGTGAGGGGAGATGGTGGGATTGCAATGCAATGCCATGCCATTGGTTTACCCATTGTACCCAGATTGCTGTCATAAGGAAGAGCAAAGCGGAAGATGGGTGGAGCTTGCTTTTCTCTACAGTACAGTACTTTTCTCCTTCCACCCCAGCCAATGCTCAGCTGAGGAGGTGGATCTGAGCAGAAAGCCAGGGATGAAAGAGCAACCTTGTGCTAGAGTGAGCTCTGTCTTCCCTGAATGGCCAGTGACACCCACAGTGTTCCCAGGATGTGGAGATGGGCCCAGGAACCATTGCAATCTTGCACAGCTGGGAAGGAATTGGGATTGAAAGAATATGGAGCTAGTGAGAATTTTGTTTCAGAGTGGTCTATTTTTGAGTCATTTGCCCCTTTTAAACCTCATCCTAATTTGTTTCTATTTTAGATGGGCCTTCATTGCAATCCATAATCATCTGTCTTCAGATCTTGGAAAAGTTAACCTTGGAATTACAGCTTCCAGAGTCCATACCGACTCATCTTCTGGAAGTTGTACAGGTTGCGCATCCCTTAAAATTCTAAAATCTGGAATCCACCAAAATCCAAAGGAGGCAGAAATAGTGACACCTTTGCTTTCTGGTGTTTCAGTGTACATAAAGTCTGAATCGTGCACAAAACATATGTAAAATATTATATGAAATTATCTCCAGGTTATTGTACAAAGTATACATGAAATATAAGGATCCCCCGATGGTGCAATGAGTTAAACCCTTGTGCCAGCAGAACTGAAGACCGATGGGTTAGAGCAGGGGTCCTCAAACTAAGGTCCGGGGGGGCCGGATACGGCCCTCCAAGGTCATTTACCTGGCCCTCGCTCAGGGTCAACCCAAGTCTGAAACGACTTGAAAGCACACAACAACAACAATCCTATCTCATCAGCCAAAAGCAGGCCCACACTTTCTGTATAAGTTTATATTTGTTAAAATTGTTATTTGTTTTAATTATTTATTGTTTTAAAGTGTTTTTGCACTACAAATAAGATATGTGCAGTTTTCATAGGAATTCATTCATGTTTTTTTCAAATTATAATCCGGCCCTCCGACAGTTTGAAGGACTGTGGCCTGGCCCTCTGTTTAAAACGTTTGAGGACCCCTGGGTTAGATGTTCAAATCTGAGGAGAGCACGGATGAGCTCTCTCTGTCAGCTCCAGCTCCCCATGCAGGGACATGAGAAAAGCCTCCCACAAAAACATCCGGGCATCCTCTGGGCAACGTCCTTGCAGACAGCCAATTCTCTCACAAAACCAGAAGCGACTTGCAGTTTCTCAAGTCACTCCTGATATGAAAAAAACAAAAAACAAAAACAAAACATGAAATCTAAATGGATTTTTTGTTTAGACTTTGGTCTGTTCTCCAAGAAATCTCAGTATGCACGTATATGCAAATCTTGGTATTACAAAATCCAAACATTTCTGGTCCCAACCATTTTGGAATAGGAGCATTCAACTTGTGGTAAAATGTGACTTTTCCAAACTTTAGTCTTCTTTGCCTTATTATCCGACTCCCCTCTTCCACCCTGCTGACAAAATTAGTCTTTTGTAATGCTGGTTCATTATCCTGATTGGTTGTACCTTCAGAACCCTTGCTCTACCCCAGTTAAACTGGTGCCTCCTGAAATGTAACTCATGGAGAAATAGAGAGAAGTGAGAGGGAAAGACGCCTACGGAGCTGGAAACTTGGCGAGGTGCTACACTCAGCCATGTCAAATGAGATCAAGATTTTGAATATAATTACTGGGGTGGATATAAAATGGTTAGGAACCTCCTGTGCCCTATGCTACTTAACGAATGAGATGAAATGATATCTCCACAGGGCCAAGTCATACCATGGCTTGCTTCACATCATCACCTTCGGCGAGGGCCTGTGAGCTGTTACCATCCTATGGGATGAATATTATTCAAAACGAAAATGTACAAGGGAGATTAAAATGTCTAATCTCATTCATAATAGACCAGACAGATGATACTTAGCAGAACGTATAAATAAGGTTAGTGAAAATGATGCATGGTGATTAAGTAGTAATTCCAAAGTTAATAAAATGTGGGATTTCCAGCCAGGAAATGTGTATTAGAATCCTTCACATCGGGAGTTTAAACATATCAGCAGTCATAATATGCAGATCTCAGAGTCTGATGATTCTTTAGAGATTTGGAGGTGGCAGGTGGCAATATTACTGCCTACTTTGCACATGTGTCTTCCCTTTTATACCCTCTTCGGTAACAATTTGATTTTCTTTCTCAAAGTGAACACTGTATAAGCAATTATCTTTATTTCTGTATAAACAATATTTATTACATACTTCTTAAAAATAAATGGCAATATTATACAGAAATGGCCAGTTGAAATAGCAAGGAGCTATCACATGGCTCCATACTATCCATTGCTCAATGGAAGCAGGGGGATAGTAAAGCCATTCCTGATTTTAGTTTGAACTTGATAGATGTTATCCAATATGCTGAAACTATTTCAGGCTGGAGTCATAACCCTGAACTTTAGAGATCAGACTGAAATATTATCTAGATCCATTTCAATTTGGTTTCAATCTGACTTTGGTCGCCTTGGTGGATGACCTACACAGAGACCTAGACGAGGGTGTGTCTTCCTGTTGGTTCTCCTGGGTCTCTCGGCGGCTTTAGATATCATTGACCATGAGTTGTCAAACTGGGATGGGACTGGGAGACACTGTTTTACAGTGGCTCTGTTCCTTCCTGGAGGGCTGTACCCAGAAGATAGTGCTGGGGGACACATATTCAATTCCTTGGCCACAGGTCTGTGTGGTTTCTCAGGGTTCTCTTTTGTCCACCATGCCGTTTATCATATACATGGAACTGCTGAGAGAGGTCATCTAGAGTTCTGGAGTGCGGTGCCACCTATATGCAGATGACACCAAACTCTATTACTCCTTTCCACTTAAAGCCAAGGAAGCTGTCCTGGCCCTAAAACAATGTCTGTCTTCAGTAATGGACTGGATGACGGCAAACAAATTGAAACTGAATCCAGACAAGACAGAGGTGCTCCTGGTCAATTGAAAGGCAGATCAGGAAATAGGGATTCAGCCTGTGCTGGATGGGGGTCACATCCCCCCTGAAGACACAATTCCACAGTTTGGGGATCCTCCTGGACTCAGTGTTCAACCTGGGGGACCAGCTATCTGCAGTGGTCAGGAGAGCCTTTGCACAATTAAAACTTGTGTGCCAACTGCGCCCATTCCTTGAGAAGCCAAATCTGGCCATGGCGGTGCATGCCTTAGTTACAATCCGTATGGATTACTGTAATGGGTTCTGTATGGGGCTGCCTCTGAAGAGTGTTCAGAAACTTCAGCTGGTTCAAAGAGCTGAAGCCAGGTTGCTAACTGGGGCTGGCTGCAGGGAGCGGACAACCACCCAGTTTGTTTCCGGGCATAATTCAAAGTGCTGGTTATGACCTTTAAAGCCCTAGATGGCTCAGGTCCAGCTTATTGGGCTGACCGCTTCCCCTTGTACAAACCTGCTTGGGCCCTGAGACATTCAGGAGAGGCCCTTCTCTTGGTCCCATCTCCATCTCATGTTTGGTTGGTGGGAACGAGAGAGCAGTCCTTCCCCCTCAACTCTGGAACTCCCTTCTTCACAGGGCAGTCAGAATGGCTCTCGCCCGGCTGTCCTTTCAGCGGCAGGCTAAAACCTTTTTATTCAGGAAGGCTTTTAAAGAAGTGTCAGGGGTTGCTGTGGTTTTTAGTTTAAATATGTATTTATTGATTTTAACATATTTTTAAAAATACCAATGATATTTAATTCTCTTTTAATATATATCTATATCTAGATATAGATTTAGATTATAAATTGTACTGAAATGCTTTTAATATCAGCAGCTTTAAGTCTCCTTGTGGAGAGCGGGGTATAAATAAACATAACAACAACAACAACAACAACAACAATCAGATTCACCACCCTCTGACATGGAAGCTATCAGCTGCCACCAAGACACTCTTCCCCCAAAGTACTATATCCTATAGTGTTATGAATATTTTATTTTAGACTTCATTCTTCCTTTAGATAGCTGGTGAAAACAAGGAGTGAAATTGATTAATCCAGATTTGTAATGTGGTCTAGTCAGTTTCAATATTCTATTCTTCTTTACCGGATTTCTGGCGGAAGGAGTGGGCATGATTATGTTCAGGAGACAAGAAAACAGCGTCTCATCTTCCTGATGTGATTTCATATGCACATCAGGATGGTTTTGCAGTTATAAAGCTGCTTTTCTTTGGATCAGAGCTAGTGGCATGATAGATTGCTATGAAGTTTCTCTTATCACTGTTCAGAAATGCTAGCCTGTTTACAATCCAAGATTATTTTTACAACTAAAGAAAATTAGCATTTAAAAGGCTCCCATGAGTCATTCCAGTAAATGTTGAAGTGCCCCAACCCCTCATCTCCCCAACACTGTGAAATCTGCCAAGAGAAAGAGCATGTAAGGAAAAAGGTGATCAGCTTAGGGTGGGGAAGACTTTAACTTTTCCCAGTGACCGTGAAAATGCTCTATTATTAAAAATGTAACATTTCTAAGCCGTGATGAAACAGGGGCCCTTCCACCCTACACAGCTTTAGTACTATGATGT